CTCTTTCAGTCATTCAAGGACCACTTCCACAGTTTTTGCCATCACTGAGTATCACTTGAACCATTATTATTTAATGTTTTTTTATTTAAATCAACTCACTTAAAAAAAAAAACCTAAATGAATACTCTCTACTTTAGCCTTATCCTAAGCAAGAATATCTGTAAAATCATGGGGTTTGTGTGCCCCATAAATCAGTGTATGGTCAGGCCACTCAGAATGGCTTCCCTCTTGCTCTCTGTACATCCCCTGCCCAGCCAGTGCCTGCCTCACCTACACCCTACTCACATGACTGACCTTCCTATGTACTTGCCCCAGGCCCCAGATAGTGACTGTTGTCAAAGGGGTGGTGTGGGACGTGCCCCTCTGCCACTTTCCATGATAATCGATAAGCCAACTTGACATCTCCACCTGCCCCCGGGAGCAAAGACTGCCACCACGTCCTGCCCGCCGTCTGCCATACACGGTGGGATGTTGGTCCAGCACCTTGCTTCAGACACGTAAGCTCTCTCATCCATTAAACCATTGATGTCTCTGGTGCCGACTCCAGGCAGACTCCTTTCTTGGGTCTTGAAGCTCTTCCTGCAACAGACTGCTAGACCATCACACTAGGAGCGCTGGCAAAAACAGCACATCACTGCCTGGTACACGATAGCGCACTCCTCTCCTCCCTCATATGAAACTAGGTTGTGTGGGGGCAGTCTTTACAATCTGCATGGGAAAGAGAAGTCCTTTTTTTTTTTAAGTTAAATCGTAAAAAGGCAATTGGCAATTCAAAACAGAAGAACTATCCTAAGGGATCACACTATGAATAGACAATCTGGGGGCGCTTACCGCCATAGGAGCAGAAGAGGGAGGAGGGTCCGTAGTCCTGGGAATGAGCAGCGATTGTTATCCAGCCACAATCCTGGGATTCAGGCGTCGAGACCCTAACGGCCCCACAGTTGCTGTCACAGAAGATTGAGTGCCAGGACGGTTAGAAAAGACGTCAAAGATGAGAAATTAAGGTTGGCCTTGAAAGATGGGTGGCACGGGTAGGCAGAGAAGAAGGCTTGTGATGCTAGAAGAATGAGCAAAAGTGTCTGGGGTTCGAGCTGTTCTTAAAGGGGCGTGGAAAAGGAGGGAGGGAAGAGAGAGAAGGACACATGAGCAGGAGCGCAGGGGGAGCTCAAGGCTGCACTGCAGCTCGGGGGTGGGCGACGCCGGAAACCATACTGATGAACATGGGGAAGCGAGGATGGCTATAAATAAGACTGAAAATATTAGAAAACCCAGATTCCCAAAGCCTTAAACATTAGGTTGCAGAGGATTTGAATGTGTTGCTATAAGCAGCTGAACGCTAACAAGTAGAAAAATGGCATTGTGGTCAAAGTGATGTTTTTCAAAGATTTTTCTGTAGGACAGATTTCGGGGGTGCGGAGAGAGCTAGGAGTTGAGCAAAACAGTAAGGAGCCGGGCTTCCCTGGTGGCGCAGTGCTTGAGAGTCCGCCTGCCGATGCAGGAGACGCGGG